GTGGATCGGGGTACCCCTTGCCCTCCGGCGCACGCCATCCTGCGAGCTCCTTGTTGTGGAGTACCCCCATGGTGATGAGGTCTTCAATGGTCTGCTCATTGCTTTTCAATTTCCACCATTCCTTTGCCATGACCCCTGCTTTCTTCTACGCATCACTTTTCGCCATGACTCTGGCATTGCTGGTGAACGGGAAAGTGGCGGCGGATTGATTGGTGGCGATTTCAGATGTATTAGGGTTGGCGAGAGGAAGAAGAAAGCTACGGTTGCGAATGGCAATGGGGTTCAATAAATATTAACTTACCTATCCTATACTGTATTTAACCCAAGAGTTATGCTGTTTCGTCTGCCCGGGATTCTTGGGAGACGTGCGCACGCTCCGCATATGGTTGTGTTCACAGCCTCGAGATCTACGCCAATATATGCGCCTCTTCGTTGCCAGTGTGGGAGGGCCCATACTGACGCACCTACTAACAGGTGCCACGCAACTGTTTGCTTGACAAGACAAAAAGGCAGTATGATGTGTTATACCCATCTACTTTTTTGACCAGACGTGTCAGATTGGACTTGACTAAACAAGTAAATAAGTAAATATATAAAAAATAGTACAAGTGACTATCTTTGTGCTCGGGGACTGTCGCGATTATTCTTGTGCTCGGGGACTGTCCAGACCACCATTGTGCTCGGGGACTGTCCAGACCACCATCGTGCTCTGGAACTGTCCAGACCACTCTCGTGCTCGGGGACTGCCTCAACCACTCTCTGACTATAGCTCGGGAACTTCATCCCTCGCTCCTTGACTTGTGCTCGGGGACTGCCTCGACCACTCTCCGATCACAGCTCGGGGACTTCGCGTCTCGACTACATGCGACTGGCGACTCGCATACAGTTGGGGTATTTTTTCTTCATTTGACCTTGCTACAAGGCTGATATCTCGCCTTCCAGCAAGCTCGGGGACTACATCGGTACGATGCACCTGCTGGTGCATCTCGTATCGCTTGTACGACGATTAGATTTTCAACTTAATTGGGAATTCTTTTTAGACCCTAGCACCACGTGCCTACGTCACCTACTATCAGGCTCGGGGACTAAGTGGGCACACTTCACCTTGCGGTGAATGTGTTTATTTTATCGACCCCTACGCTCTGACTATTGGCCATAACTGCTATTGTACAAGGGTCACTTACATTTCTTTTCAGAAATACAAGTGGGCACACTTTATCAGGAAAGAAATCTTTTTCTTTTTTCTTTAGAGCACCATGCATTCTTCGGACAACCGGAGTCTTCGGCTATAATCGTGGTCTATTGCTCTCTGTTCTGACCGGAATACTGGCACATTCGCTTGGTCAATGTTTCAACCAGTTGGAGATGACATGAAGACGGATCGCATTAGCTGAAGGAGATCGAACGGCGTGTCGCAGCATAATACATGGTGCTCAGGGACTAGCTGTGGGGGTATTAACCCCTATACCCTTACGGCTAGGCTTGGGCCGGCCCGGACTAGGGGGTCTGGCCCACTAGAAGACTACGTGCGGCCCGACCAATCTGTTCGGAGTCCCACGCAAGGAATCAAGGCAGATTTGGAGATCAAGCAAGATCCTGGTCGGTTAGAATAGGAATCATTATCCGGGCACCTATGGCAATTGTAACTGGTTAGGATTAGTTTCTAGATCTGTAACCCTACCCCCCAGACTATATAAGGCGGGCAGGGGACCCCTCTCAAAAACATCTCTCATTGACATACAACAATACAATCAGACACATGACGTAGGTATTACGCCTTCATGGCGGCCGAACCTGGATAAAACCTCATGTTTGTCTTGCGTCACCATCTTGTTTATAGCTTGCGCATCTGTCTACCGATGATCTACTACCTTGGGCATACCCCTAGATAGACTGTCGACCATATTTTGTCGACAGTCCTGCGCAAAGAGATGAAGGAGGAGAGAGACGAGAAATCAAGAATCAAGAATAAAAGAAAAGGGTTAGGGTTAGGGTTACCGACCTGCGCAACCGGAGCCCGGTGCTGAAGAAGATGAGGGCCACGCAGAGAAGACAACACACTGGTTAGCAAGGATGGCGAGCAGCGGAGGAGGGACAGACGGGGGCACGAACTCACATATTCATCGAGATCTAGAGGGGAGATATGGAGAGGGAGAAGGGAGAGGCAGAGAGGGAGGGGATCAGGTAGGAGGAGCGGCTCGTCGATGGTAGGCGGATGGAGGTCATTGGAGTCAGGGTCAGGAAGGTCGAACGCCCCTAGACAAGACGGCGAGGAGAGAGCAATTCGAGAGCGGTTCAGCGGTGGGAGTGGGTGGAAATTATTTAGGGTTAGGGTGGGGTGAGGGAGAGCGCCGCGGATGCTGGCTTATATATGCCAGGGGGGAGGAGGGGAGCCGTTGGGCTGACCGGTTGGACCGCATCACCGCTGGGACTATGGGGAACTGGGGGTCCGGGGGAAGCCTCGGGCCACTACCGGGCCGACGTCTGTGAGCTGGGCCGTGTCGTGCTAGCCCACGGGCCTTAGTAGCGGCCCAGACATGGCCTATTCCCCTGGGCCGGGCTAGCCCGGGCCCGCCAACCATCGGGCCGTGTCGTGCTTGGGCCAGGCCAAAATTGCGGGCTTCGTGCCGGGCCGCCATGCCTCGGGCTGCATGGACATTTATAATTAAAACTAGGAGGCCCTCAAATCCCACTCTCGAGCTCATTCATAATAGGATTTGGGGGGTCCCCTAAATGTGTTTTTCACCGTTGGAAGCCCCATATCCATCCACTCCCTCTTTAGTTGCCACCACCTCTTTAGCCACTGGCAGCCTCCCTCCTCCTCGATGCAAGCTTCGTCCCCACTTGGCTTCCTTCTCCTCCGGTGCGAACGCCTCTTCCAATGATGCTGACGTGAACACCTCTTCCCCTAACACAAGCACATCTTCCCGCTTGCGGAGACCATCCTCCGACATCCTCTCTGCGATCAAGCATGCTGTCCCAGCGCGTGGACATTGTCCCTCGGTGTCCTCTCTCTAGAGTGGACACTGTCACGGCACGACCTCCACACCTAATGTCCCCTCCGTCGATGCGACCTCCACCTGTCGATAAAATTAATGTTTTAGAGAGATATTTGCTTGCGGTACTCGATAATGCTCACCATATGACGCTTATTACATCATTGGTTGATGTTTAGTCAATATATATGAAATATAGTGTGGTAAAATATTAATGAGCACAAGAATATTTGTTACCTCTTCATGCTTAGCTTGCTTAGATACTGTAGAAGACGAATTGGTGATGGGTTTCTCACTATTCACGCAATATAGCATTTGCTTAACTTGATCTATATTATATGATGAATTTGACTTGAGGACTGGCAAGGGGTTAGGTCATGGCAAGGCGACAGAGGTCTTGAATAACATAGCTCGCTCGACCGGCTAAGGAACGTATCTCTTTCATAGTGAGTTCAAGTGACCCCCATACACACCACATGTCGCGGATGGGGGCGGTAAGACAAGTAGCTTGTGGTGACCGGGATAACCAGGTGGATTCGGCTCGGGGTGAGGCGCAGGGTAGCTAGAATAAGCTAGTACCTCGGGCCATCGCCATACTGTTCATGGCCGATTTGGCCACACTTGTGAAAGGTTGGGGACTTAATACAACCCTTACTTGTGCACGGGTTATGGAGGTTCGTCCTAGTCTTCCGTGTGGATACAATTGTACACCTCTATAGAGTTTTCTTTGAATGCATGAAGTCTTCGGATGGATTAAATTGTTCTTACTCCTAGATTCAGAGCTGTTGTGGCGATGAAGGACACGTGGAAGATTAATCTCCATTTTATGCTTAATGCTCATATATGATATACTTTCTATGCTTATGTGTAGTTGATAGACAACATTTACTTTATGCACAAAATGATATTTATGCAACCCAACTTTTATTCCTTACAAATGTTAAATGCATCCTCCTTTGTTTATATATATTCGGTAGGTCCTTTGGAGTACAATCTTGTACTAACGGTGTTGTCGTTAAGTTGTTTTGCAAGTACCAAAAGGACATCAGTGACCATGTGTCATCCCGCCGATGCCGACAAAGTGGGTGAATGGCAAGAGCCGTCCAAGCTACGGTGGCGACACCCATAAGCAAGACGACCACTAGTTATTAGTTAGAAATAATCAGTAGTATAGAGCTTTCAAACTACACTTAGTTTAATTAATGTAGTATAATTAATTTTTTAATTCAACAAGACTTATGTTGATTTATGTAATCTTGATTTGTGGCGGCTATATTGGTATGATACGTACGCAACTGAGATCCCATGTCTTGATGTATTGGAAATGTGACAGGCATCTCCCGGGGATCACCGAGGTTGATTTCTTTACATCGGATCGGTTAATGGGATGACACTCGATTTAGGTAAATTAATGTGGCGGATCCTTGCATTATATATGCTTGTATAGCAAAATCTAGTCTGTTAGTGCATTTTCATCAGGTCTTGATCTTGCTTAGTGCTTCCTTTATGTGTTTTTGTGCTCTTAGATCATAATATTGTGCTCCTATTCTCCATATAGATGAATGTATGGGTATTTATGGGCGTGTTCGCCAAAAAAAAAAAAAAAGGGTACGGTGCTGTTGCATGGAGCCATGGCACAGCCATTTTATGAACTCTTGCCAATCCGCCACTATGCCTACTTATATATTTACACAGCACACCCTGTCCCCTGTCATCAGCACAAAAAGTTCATTTCAATGTACAACGGGCGCGCAGAGCCATCCCTTCCCGCCAAATTCAAAACCACCATTTGCAATGGCAACCGCATCCGTGGCATCCGCAGCAGCGAGGCCACCACACCGTCGGCGACGACGATCCCAAACAGCACCCCAACTCGCACCACCCTGCTGCCGGGGCCTTGGTTGCCGACGCCGCCGGAGCCTCCGTTGTATCCTCCATCTCAACCGCAAGCCTGCATAATCATATCAAAATTTCGCTCGTCGGAACGGTGATTGCCATACACACTCACGCAAACGATCGATTGGGCTGCTGGGTCACGTACGTGGAGACGACGACAGAGTGCTTGTGCTTGCCCTCGCCGGAGACGCTCTCGGTGGCGGCGAACCTGACGGACTTCCTGGTCTTGCTGCCGCTGCCACACCTGGCGCAGTCGTGCCTGACACACAGCCCCCCTGAGCGGCCCGACGATTCCGACAAGGACGGCAGCTGCCTCATAGCCGCCGCGTCGCGCCCCAGGGACGGGAACCGGGGGAACCCGGCGGCGTCGTAGTAGAAGTCGGCGTATCGCGCGGTGAGGTCGGCGGCGGAGCTGCTGAGCTGGATGCTGAAGAGCGATTCGTTGGAGGTGGCGCTCCATTCGGCGCGGTTCGTCGACCGCGTCCGGAACATGGACGACGGGAGCCTTTTTGGGTCGTACGCCGCCGCGGCGGCGACGGCGGCGCCCTCGGCTCTCTGCCTGCCCTGCTGCGGCGGAATCATCGTCTGGACCGCCGGAGGCCGCATCGTGCAGGGCTCGAAGTCCAGGAACTCGATGTCCGCCGCCGCGGCGGCGGCCGCGTCCTCGTTGCCGATGCCGGGCCCGAAGTTGGAGTCGTCGAGCGCCTCGATGTGGAAGAAGCTCTCGTAGGACGACGTGGATGAGAAGGACGAGAGCTTGATGAGGTCGTCGGGCCCGGACTCGGCGTAGGGGATGCTCTCGCACGGCAGCTTGTTGGACGCCGGCAGGTAGTTGGTCGACGACGACGCGTACGAGAGCGCCGGCGACGCGGTGGGGGACGAGAAGGAGGTGTTGCTGGAGAGCGTGCGCTCGTGGTGGTGCTGGGGCATGGGCTCCTCGCGGCCGCAGGTGCAGGTGCAGGTGCAGGGCATCTCCGTGGGCGTGCGAGCGGCGAGTGGTTACATACACCACTCGCGGCTCGACGCCGCGCCCGCTTCTGGTCAAATCCGCCGACGGCGCCACGGATCTGCTGCGCGCGGCTCGAGGGGCCGAGGAATTTGGTGTCAGCAAATGTGGAAGATCAATCTTGAACGGGGAATGTAATGTAATGTCACGAGAGATGCATGGCAGATTGCAAACGAAAACAGCACTTTAATTTCATGCGATCGTGTTGTACCAGCGAAGAACAGGGCGGGCTTGGACATGGAGCAAAGGGAATAATGGCCGGAGCTCGGCAAAGATGCACGAAGCAATCAAGGAACGGAGCTCCGACAACGGGAATAGGAGGCGGTGGGCTCGGTTTTATACGCTCCTACGCGAGAATGAGAGGGGATCGGAGGAAGGAGCGGCCGGAGGCATGACAGGTCATTTCGGCTGGAGCCGACGGAAACTACTTTCTGCTTCGGCATGAACCAGGGGAGATCTTGGCCCTGCCTTTGCATATCGTGCGCGTGCCGGCGACGGGCTGGACCGACGCAGGAAGGCGACGAAATTAACCGACCAACCGAAACAACGCGGAGTGGGAGCCATCCTATACCGAGCGACCGACCCAAAATAAGACAGAGACAGAGATAGAGAATGTTTCACTGCCAAAAACAAATCATCCTCGGTTCCATTCAATTACAACAAAAGAGAATGTTTCCCATTCAATTTCTTAGCAACATGTTCCGGATGCTAACCTGAGAATTCCAGAATTCAGATTACACAAATGCAAAGTCATACGGTTTCTGATAACAACATTTTTCAGAACTCAAGGTTGATACGTGCCTTTGACTGAAGAATGATGAGCGAATGCCAAGATGATTTGATACTTTCCTGGTTATGTTCTTAATTCATATATGCTTGATTATGATAATGGCTAATGGGCAGTGTTGTTGTGATGAGTTGTGTGGAAAGACATGTCTTGTGATGTGCCTCTGATCCGCTTGTGAAGTGTAGGTGATAGATGCAATATGGTGGTCGGTTACAAAGGGTGAAGGTCAAGCAAGGTTAGTTCTGATGGAACAAGAATGATGAAGGGCGAACACATGTCCTTAGCAGAGATTGGGCATGCCTCGACATCATGAGTCACACTTTTTGCAGAGTATGCAAGAGGGTTTTGCCTGTTTGGTCCTAACAGCCAGGGCATTGACCTTTTGGTGGTTGGAGCCACAAAACCAAAGTGACGAGTGGGAGGATGTGTGGCGTCATTATGAAGCTTGCATCAAGGTAAAAAGTGAGGTCGTGAAGATATCATAGCCATTTGTTATATCAATAAAAAACGATGTTGTGAAAACTCTTGAGGTATTTGGGCTTTGTACTTCATACAGGAGCACTTTGGTCTTTCGATAGGCATCTACATTAGCTGGTTGTGTCGGTCATCCTTGGTGTCGCTCTTGGTTGCGATAAGATACTAGGGTTAGAGAGAAGATGAGAGGAAGATGCTCTTGTTATTGAAATTGTTGACATCTTAGTTCCAAGGGTCAAATTTGTGCTCATGTTCTTGTCCTCTTTCTAAAAAAATCAGCCCACGGGGCAAGCCCATAGGCCAAGCCAAGATATCCGCCGTTGCCATCTATGGAGATCTGCTATTGCTAAGCCCACTAGTAGTCCATGCAGATCCGCCGTAGTGAAGCCCGATGGCCATCCATAGAGACCATAATTTCTAAGCTCACTCGGCGTCCTTGGAGATCCGCTCAAGCCTGCTCATCCTCGCCTTCGCTTCCATCCATCCGGCTGTAGTCGTGTTCACTCGTACTCCCCACAGATTTGGCTGCAGGTGTGCCCTCTCATCCACCTTGCAGATCTAGCCACAATTGAGCCCACGTGGATCCTATGAGGCGAGAGATAGTGAGGGATATCGAGAAATGAGAGGGAGAGAGAGGTTAGAGAGCCACACCTACCACCGGCCTCCTCCTCTACACTCGAGATCTGCAAGTGCCACCCTCCTCCAAGCATGCGATCCACCATGTCCACGTGAGATCAGCCGTCACCTTAGCTGTGTGCCTCCGATCCAAGTCGAGATCCACGCCGCCTGGGCCTCTAAGCCCGCGTCGGAGAGATGGAGGCCCCATGCCCAAGAGAGGGAGGCACGCTCGTAGAGGAAAGGGGCGCGTAGAGAGTCTAAGAGAGGGTGGAGGGAGAGAGAGAGGCTGAGAGAGGGCAACAACCAAGTGGGAGAAGAGGAGTTGAGTCTACTTTTATAAGTAGGGTCCATAATAGGCCTCGTACATCATTAATAGAGGCAGGCCTCTTAAGAGGTTGGCCTCTGAAAATGTGCCCACCGTCAACTGTCATGATCTTAATTTGTACGAGAACGATGTGTCATAGATACCACCAATATAATCCTTATTTGTGCACCACATGTTTATGGATCCACTCAAGTTCATATTGCACATTGTAAAGTTAGTACAAGTAATCATCCACTGCTACAGACACAAGAAATCCTTGGAAGATCATCAATGCTGGATCATAAGCCTAGAATCCAGACAATGATTAATTGGGGATCCTATTCACTTTGCAGTAAAGACCCTTATCACTGCCGGCTTGGTCGACCACCAGGGACAATATTTGAAAATTATAGTCGGGTTATCACTGTTGGTTGATAACACCACCCGACACTGATATTCTAATGCTAGGTCATGGTTTGACCCGGCAATGGTATAACGAGATCAACGCTAGTTTGTTGATTGACCCGATAGTCTCCTAGCTATAGTATAAAACCCTAGGCTCATTCCTCCTTCCACCCAACTCGAGCACACCCATTCAAGGAGGAATCCTTCTCTACCTCTACTTATTTGGTAGCAAAGATGTTTTTTTTGTGTGAATCAGACAAAAACGTTGCCAATTTATATTAAAAGAAGAGAAACCCGGACTAGGCAATACAATGGAGCAACAAAACCTAAGAGTATCGTATACAATGACGATGACCGGAAACAAGAAGCTAAAACTAATAAGTATAAGCATCTACTTCGAACATCGACAAGAACCAATTGGACTAGAACCTCAACACATGCCACGTTAACACCATCACACCCATTGCTCCACTCTCAATTCTCTAGTGACAAAATATCTCTTCTCCACAAATAAGTTGGTGAAACTTAGAAAAGTTTGACTTAAGATACACTATATAAGTTGATTAATTTTGGTACCATGGGAGTACTTGTGAGGAGGGAGTACGCATATGTAAGATCCCCACTTCTCTCTGTGACCCTGAACACAAAAGAATATTGGGAGATCGCCAATCATTGACACCCCAGAAGTCTGGGTGGACTGCGCCCCAATTTGACATTTTCACACACATAGCATATACTGTATTATATACGCATATATACACGATCGAGCCAGTATTACCTGCCGTGCGCTGTCCAATTGGCATTCCAAGCCTTCAACTTTCTTGGAGAGAGCGAGCGCTCGCTGTTTCTAAACCTTTCTCTAGCCTATCTCTGCCCCTGCCTGATCACAGACACAGCGCTAGCCCATGATGGGTGCCAGGGTTCTTGCTTCTTCTCCGCTCCAGCCCTCGCTGTCGTATATTGCAACCTCGACGGCCCATGGAGAGGATTCACCCTACTTTGCCGGGTGGAGAGCCTAGGATGAGAATCCCTACGACCCCGTCACCAACCCCTCCGGTGTCATCCAGATGGGCCTTGCCGAGAACCAGGTAGGCTTACTACCTAGCTGACAATGCTCAAACTATCAGATCGCTGCATGTTCATTCGATTCTATCATGAAGCTCATTGATTAGCCATGGTGGGGCAGGTGTCCTTTGATCTCCTGGAAGCGTACCTCAGGGAGCACCCGGCGCCGTCTCACTGCGGCGTCGGGTTACGAGAGAACGCCCTGTTAAACGACTACCATGGACTCAAATCCTTCCGGATGGTAAAGATATTCAAGTCTTGAAACCAAACAAATCGTGTGCTTGCGTTCTTACAGTCACAGACGGCTGAGCTGACCACCGTGTGATGTTTGTTATGACTCACGACTTGAAGGCAATGGCGAGGTTCATGGAGACGATAAGGGGAGGCAAGGCGAGCGTTTGACCCGGACCTCATCGTGCTCACCGCCGGCGCCACGGCTGCCAACGAGCTGCTGACATTCATTCTTGCCAACCCCGGCGACAGTCTCCTCGTCCCCACTCCATACTACCCTGGGTAAACACTGTTCCATTGCCCACAGCTAGCCCATGGCAGATTATCTCAAGTTTCTATCGTGGAGACATGCTACTTAATCAAGTGTCATGCCTTTTCTTGCCAATTGCCATTTTTCTGTTGCATTACATGCAGGTTTGACAGGGACTTGCGGTGGAGAACCACTACTGGAAACACGTGCTTTGCCGAGGGCCTGAGGCTTTACCGAGGACCAAATCTCGGGCACTCGGCAAAGACACTCTTTGCCGAGGGCCAGCCACAGGAGCCCTCATCAAAGAACGGCCTTCGGCAAAGAGGCCTTTGCCGAGGGTCCGGCCATCGGCAAAGATAGGCCCACGACAAAGATGCCCTCGGCAAATTAGGCCCGTTGGGTCACGGCGGCCATTCCCGTCAAGCTTTGCCGAGGGCCACCCGTTATGCCCTCGGCAAAGGTTTTTTTTTTTTGTGAAACCAGTTTTTCGGCAAATTTTTTTTTTAAAAAAAGTCTTTGCCTAGGGCCCTAGACTAGGCCCTCGGCAAAGATTTTTTTTGAACCAGTTTTTCGGCTAAATTTTTTTTTTATAAATCGTCTTTGCCGAGGGCCCGAGGCAAGGCCTTCGGCAAAGAAGCCCTTTACCGAGGGGCCGAGGCGATGCCCTCGGCAAAGATTTTTTAGCCCAGTTTTTTTGTGGTGCTACAATACATTGTTTTGAACTTAATTTTAAAATTTGGGCCAATTTTGACTTTTTTTTGTATATTTCCTTAATTTATTTCGATTCTTTGATTTTTTTTCGAATATGTCAAATTTGAACTGCAGGTGCATGGAATATTGCAATGTAGTGTTTCGAAAAATGTTATTCATGTTAATTGGTGCATGTTGAGTCCCTATTCACGAACTCGCATCAAATTTTACGCATCTTCTTCGCGTAACATGACGACGGACTTGCCGAAAAAGTGTTTTAAAATTATATAAAATCCATACGAAGTCCGAAAATCACAAAACTTGGCGAGATGTCATGTTATCGCTTGTGTAGGCTGTGGTAAAAAATTGAGAAGGTTTCGAGCGAGTTGTGACATCGGATGCCTGAATCCCAGACATCTCCACATGTAAAACTACCTGCGATCACATGTGGAGATGTCTGGGTTTTAGGCATCCGACATCACAACTTGCTCGAAATCTTCTCAATTTTTTACCACAGCCTACACATGCGATAACATGACACCTCGATAAGTTTCGTGATTTTCGGACTTCGTATGGATTTTATATAATTTAAAAACACTTTTCCGACAAGTTCCTCGTCATGTTACGTGAAGAAGATGCCCGAAATTTGATGCGAGTTCGTGGATAGGGACTCAACATACATCAAATACCATGAATAACATGTTTTGAATCACTAAATTGCATTATTCCATCCGCCTGCAGTTCAAATTTGAAATATTCAAAAAAAATCAACGAAAAGAAATAAATTAAGGAAATATACAAAAAAAAATCAAATTTGGTCCAAATTTTAAAATTGAGTTCAAAACAATGTATTGTAGCACCACAAAAAACTGGGCTAAAAAAACCAAAAAAAAATCTTTGCCGAGGGCCTAGCCTGGCCCTCGGCAAAGGGCTTCTTTGCCGAGGGCATCGCCTCGGCCCCTCGGCAAAGGGCTTCTTTGCCGAAGGCCTTGCCTCGGGCCCTCGGCAAAGACGATTTATAAAAAAAAAATTTGGCCGAAAAGGCCCTCGGTAAAGGGGGTCTTTGCCGAGGGCCATCGGCCAATAACCCTCGGCAAAGAATATTTAAAAAAACATAAAAAATCTTTGCCGAGGGCCCAGGATCTGGGCCCTCGGCAAAGCGCCCAACCCTAAATCGGCCAGCGGGCTGGCCCAAAATCCCCGCCCACATTTCTTACGCCGCCCCACCACCCCGCCGCCCCAGCACCACGCCGCCCGACCTCCGCGCCGCCCCTACGCGTCGCTCCGCCGCCACGCCGCCGCCCCGCCCGCGCCCAGAGCGCCCGGCGCGCGCGCCTCCCCTCCCGTCTCGGTCGAGCAAGGGAGCTCGGCGGCGCCCCGCGCCGCCTTCCCGCCCAGGCGGCGAGAGACACCGACCCCGTCCACCGGACAGCCCCGCCCAGCTACCCCAGATCCGTTCGTTCACTGACGACCCTATTCACCGGATCCAGTCGTTTACAGACGTGGGACGCCCCTCCTTTTCGTAGCAGCCCCGGCAGCCAACCCCGCCCTCTGTGTCGCCGGCGCCGGCGGGATGGCTTCGTCGGCGGCATACCCCGACGCGGACGAGAACCTGGAGGCCATCATCACCCGCATCGAGCAGAAGTCCCGAAAGATCGAGACCCTCCTCAAGCAGTACACCCCCCCTTTCCCTCTCCTCTCGACCCCTCCCCTGCTTTTGATTCGCCTGCTCATTTCTCCGCGGCGTGGGGGCAGGTCGAAGCCGGTGGAGGCCCTGAAGACGGCGCTCGAGGGGTCGCCGCTCAAGACCCGCGACGAGCGATGCAAGGTTCGGTCTTGATATGGCTCGTCTCGTTTCTTCCGTGGGTTCGATCTGGGTTTCTTGGATTGTTCATTCTTGTCGGCTGCGCGCAGTCGGCGAACTGGATCGTGGTGCACCGCGCGATGATGGCGATCAGGGACGTCGACGGCATGTTCAACTCCCTGGATCCCGAGTACTATGACATCCTCATGAAGTAAGGGATACCACCTCTCCCCTGCTCCTCCCTTTCCATCACTTGCTTCCCAGATCCAAATTTACTGGTCAGAGAAGGTCAGTGGTTTCCAGAACTAGATATCAATCACTGCATTATAAATTTTGTTGCATTGATCCACGGTGATTGTGTAATGGTATTGCTACAAAACTTTAGTTTTTATGACATCAGTTTTGTGCGGTGGGATGACAGTTGATGATTGAGAACAGTTATGCTGTACCTAACATTGGTGATTTTCATCCTGCCATGCTTGTTATGATTTGTCATTCTGCTGCGGTAGCTGGTTGGGATTTTGGGAAATTTTGTTTTGCCCTTGCAGTCTAGATGTTGCTTAATTGTGTGTTAATTATTGGGAAATTGGATTAGAGAGAACACATAATGGAACCTTTGATTATACCATTACTTTGTGTGGTCAAGAGGATATAACATTTCAATTATTTTATGGGACTGTACAACTTCCAGTAAAAAATGAGTGCATTCTAGAATGCATGCAGTCAGTCTATGTTTGTTTGGATCGACCATATGATTAGTAGTTCAATTTACTTAAAAAAATATTGTAATTCCGTTGACCTAAAATTAATTTAGAATAGGAATTGCTGATCAAGTTAATGCTTTGGACTGGATGACACACTGTTTTATGAAATCTGTTCTATAAACGACAGTGTACTATTGACAAAATGACAATGAGTTGTATGATTCAATACCTGAACAAGCTCGGTTCTATAACCGACAGTGTACTATTGACAAATGACAATGAGTTGTATTACTCAATACCTGAACAAGCTCTGTTCTATAAACGACAGTATTGACAAAATGACAATGAGTTGTATGACTCAATACCTGAACGAGCTTTGGATACTATGGGCTGTCACTTAGATGTGTGCATTTCTTGTTTAATATTGCTCACGCCATGATCGAATGAACATGTATGTATGCTGATCAATATTCCTATGCTTGTCCACTTTATCACGTTTCACGTCATCCTTGATTTCACATTATTGAAGGTTGCTGTGCCGCTCACCTTAGAACTGTGGTAAAATTAAGTTAGCTGTACACCATTTTACTCACATGTATCTCTTTATTTCTGTCTTGGAATTGTTGCCTTCTATGATTCCTTTTATGCTAATATGAAGATTATTAGTCTCTAAATATCAGTGTGATGCAGGTACCTTTATAGAGGTTTATCTACAAGCCAACATGTGATCAGTGCCTCAAAATTCATGAAAAACTGACTGAGAAGGCAGGCCTAGGCTGTATATTGCGGTCCCTTGCTGATACTGTAAACACTGTATGAGCTTTGTCTCTGCTGCTGAGGGTGGATATAACAAAGTTCTCTTCTTGCTCTTTACTGTGATAAATCACATCAGGAAAATTAGCTGTAATTGTTAACTAGATGTTTTACATTCTCTCTTTCTTTGCCATTAGGCAATTTCAGTTAGAGCATCATTGTACCCTAACTAGAATGGCGGAAATAAATGTGTATTATGTTGGTTTTCAAGTCTTTGTACTTGACGGTTATATTTTTTTTCTAAGTGATTTCTGTACCATTAGAGCTGAATAAATGTCTTTTTGACACCAATTATTACACTTCTAACTTATGGAATGCAAAAAACAAAAAAAAAATTAAATTTCTATCTCTTTGCCGAGGGCAATGACCAAGGCCCTCGGCAAAGAAGGGTCATTTGCCGAGGGCCGTCCCATTGCCCTCGGTAAAGATTCATTGGAAAAATTCTGAAATATTTCTTTGCCGAGGGCCATGGTTAGAGGCCCTCGGCAAAGACTTTTTTAAAAAAATTAAAATTTCTTTGCCAGGGTCTGCGGAGAAGCCCTCGGCAAAGATTTTTCAAAAAAAAAGAATAATTCTTTGCCGAGGGCCGTCCCATTGCCCTCGGCAAAGATTTTTTGGAAAAATTCTGCAATATTTCTTTGCCGAGGGCCATGGTTAGAGGACCTCAGCAAAGATTTTTCAAAAAAAAAAAAGAATAATTCTTTGCCGAGGGCCCCCGGAGACGGCCCTCGGCAAAGACTCCGTCCTAGGCGCCGGCGTCGTGACGGCTGCTTTTCTTTGCCGAGTGCCGGTCCAGCCCTCGGCAAAGGCTTTGCCGAGTGCCCGATAAACGGCCCTCGGCAAAGACCCTCTTCGCCGACTCAAAATTCACCGAGAGCTCTTTGCCGAGGGTTAATGGGCCTTCTTGCCGAAGGCCTCAGGCCGTCTCCAGTAGTGAACCGGCGTGAACATCGTGCCAAATCCGCCCACTGCGGCGGCGTCACACCGGGTTCGAGTCACCGCCCGGTAGCGCTCAGCAGCGTATGATGACGAGGCCGTGGACGGTACTGGATCTGCGTCCGCGGCGTCATTCTGACAAACCCGTCCAACCCACTCGGCAAGACGATGCAGATGGCCGTCCTGGAGGACATCGTCGACTTCGTGGCGCGCAACGACATCCACCTCGTCTCCGACGAGATCTACCCCGGCTCCGTCTTCGCCGCGCTGGACCTGGTCAGTATCGCCGAGGTCGTGGAGGACCGCGCGCGCCACGGCGACGACGGCGGCAGCATCGCGGCGCGCGTGCACGTCGTGTACATACTCTCCAAGGACCTCCCTAATTTTTTTACTATTTAACCTATTTTTTAATAAAATTTACATTTGGCCCCTGAGAGGCTTAAACTCATCTTTGGACCCTGGGGTCGGCGCCATGAGCCCTGACGCCGAGGTAACACATCTCGGCGCTATATATCTTGACACCGAGATGCCTGGTCGTGCATAGAAGAAAATCTTACGTGACCAGTACCTCGGCACCAAAACACATGGCACCGAGCTCGACGCCACAGATCTTAACGCTGAGGTACTGGCCTCAAAGCGTGCGGCCAAGTGAAGAGAGCAGGCGCATGCCTGCCTTGACTACTTGGCCAAGGCTCCCACCATTGTTACGCCTGTGGCCACGGGCCTTGAGTACACTCTTGCCATGGGGCTCCATTACAGCGCCCCCAGCAGCGTGCATTTTGCCACCTCGAGGCATCCGGCGGCTACGACGACGGATCCCTCTCCCTCTTGCCATGCACGCATAGGGGACTGCTCTAGTTAGGAAGCAGAAGGATAGAACTCTGCTGCTATACGGGATGTGAGCTGGGTGGGGAAGAGAAGAGGAACGAGTGGATGGTGCGGCGGAGATGATGCGTATGCGAACGAGTGGACGGCAGGACCGGTCACGGGCGCTTCTGGATGTAGGTGGCTCCGTTGATTTTTTCTCTTTTTTATGAGTTTTTTTTTTGGTCCCACACACGAACAGGAACAACAGGACGGGTCACGGGCGCTTCTGTCAGGCTCCTTCGATTTTTTTTCCTCGTACCCACACGAACTGACGATGCTCTGTTGTCACATGGGTAACACCGCAGCTATGCTGGTGGCAGGACCGACGCGTGGCAGTCAGACAGGCTGTGTTTAGTTTTCAATTTTTTTTTTCAAAAAGTGCTGCAGTAGCTATTCCATCGAATCTTATGATATGGACATAGAGCATTAAATGTAGACGAAAAAAAAATTAATTGCACAGTTTGACTGGAAATTGCGAGATGAACGTTTTGAGCCTAATTAGTCCATGATTGAATACTAGTTGTTAAATAAAAACGAAATTGCTACAATATCAAATTTCTAAATTTTAGAATAACTGAAGGACTGTAGCAGGAGCATTGCATCTCCACCGGCGCAGGTCAGGTCCGTCACGCTCGCTCACAGCGTATCGTCTTATCCCAGGGTAGAGCGAAGGGCTGTGCGCCTGGGCCCTGGGGCACGGCCACGGCCCCTTCGAGGGCAACTGGGCGCTGCTGCTGCTTAAAAGTGGCAGAGCGAACGAGCATTTATGACAGCACAGTGTTTCGCACGGATACCGAGATAAATTGCAGACGCCGCAGATAAGGCCTTGTTTAGTTGGTCATAGCTGGGAGTAAGTTAGGAGTTTTCGGTACCATTTTGTTTGTATTTGTGAATTATTGTTTAAATATTGATTAATTAGGTTTAAAAGATTTATCTGTGTAATTAGTTATTTTTTTACCTATATTTAATATTTTATACCTATATAAAGATATGATATGATGTGATGTGATAGAAAATCTTGCACTTTTTGCTTTTTTGAGGTGCAAATTTGATGCAACAAGGCAAAGCTTTTGAATTAAAGCGTGGGCGCTGCTGCACCACGTGAGATGAGGTTGCCAGAAAGTACGTATTTTATATTACTTAAAACATTAGCAACCGATCCTATAATTTCAATTATTTTTAAAGGAAAAAGCAACCATCTATCTCTGTACCACGCGCAGAATCCAAATTTCTTTTCAACTATCCATAATCTTATCGTGGCTTATTATTTATGGTACATTATTTTTCTCTTTAAGGAATCATTAAACAATATTTTTCGGTTGGACTTTTTCAGCTAAACAAACATGGCTGAGACACAAAACTCCAACTAATTACGTGTGAACTTATATATTTATTTGTTGCCAGCTTTCCTCAACGACTGCCTACTTTCTCTCTATTGGTCTACAGTACATACGCTGCATATACATAGACCCCGGCCCCTAACCTGAAGGAGCCGTTGCAGGCTGCTACTATCTGCTGGCTAATAGCCCACACAGCTTGTACTGTACATGTGTAGGTGCTGCGATAGGCGTGACGATGCCCCTGCCCCCCCTCGCCTCGTCGCGTCCCTTCGGAGTCAGACGGCCCGTCGTCGATATCGCTGGACGCAGCGCCGCACCGGTTGACGAGGCGAAGTCCTTGGTGGAGGGAGACACGCGGTACAGGCGCACACTTTAAATACATGCTTGGCGCTAGAATACATGGTGCCGAGCTCGTGTCAAGATCTACAGTGTAGAGGTACCGGTCATGTCAACGTTACTCAGGATTTTCTATAGTGCATGGCTAGGCACCTCGGCGCCAAGATCTATGGCGCCGAGACGTGTTACCTCGACGCTAGGACTCATGGCGTCGACTCC